TCAGGCTGCAAACGGCCGATTGCTGTGTTACTCTTTTCACCTAACCCAATTTCTTTGTCAGGTGTCTAAGGACGCTCAACACCCTCCGCGAAATCCTGCACTTCATTACATCTACGTGACTCTTCCCATGGAAATGGTCGACATCAACTCATGCTTTCCCACAGAAACTTAAACATCTTTGTTTCTTGGATTTATAGTCTGAGTTGGCGTTTCACCTATTTTCGTCTTCTCTTTCCGCCGCCATCACCTGATCGTAATCCTTGAACAATTAGGCAAAGAAAAGTGCGAAACTTCGTAAGGCAGTGGTATCTGTCTTGAATCTTCTCCCAGGACAGCTGTATTGTCACAGGGGGAGGGTTTTATGTCCGATGCTAAAACTAGTAACACGTAGCGTCAATTTTATGGAATACAACATTTTAAATTAATTATTTTTTTCCTATTCACGCACATGATGCTGCATACAGGAATGAAATAATGTTTCGGTATACAGTATTCACATTCATTTGAAATACTGTACTGCTCGAACCATTGCGGTATGATGGATGGTTTTCCCAATGCTGCGGTGGAATGTTATTTCCGAGGCATTGAAAAATTTTGCAGGTGGGGAGATAAGGTACAACGTATATTAGAGTCGTAGCACCTCTTCATCCTCAGCTGCAACGTTCGCGTGTTCTACAGTTTAAACGAGCTGTCACTTCTACGAAACTTCGTCATTTTCAAGCAATTGAAGTTAAGCTTGTACGTACAGCTGTATTTATCAGATTTTTTTAGCAGACTTGACTGAATTCACATTCAATTTGAATTCCCTGTGGATCATTATACTGTACATATCTGTACATCAATCACATACTTTCCAGCATCAACTCATTTTTCGTTTCCTCTTTCCTGATTCTGCTGGATAACTATTTTCCTTCAATTTTGGATTGTTCGCTTTAGGGTTTCATTCATTCCGTTCAACACTCAATCTGTATTAATTTTAAACACAACTATATTTTCATGAACGTTCATAGTTTCCCCTGCCTCATGAGACAAATATTTTCAACTTGGCCCCTGTTCGCTTGGACTAAAATTTAACACATAAAATGCTTATAGGTGTAAAATATTTTTCGCGAAATACCGTAAGTTCGTTCATAAGTTCACAACCGTTTGGAAGGTAAACCAGACTGCAGAAAACCAACAGTATAGAATATGGACGGCACGTATAATCCCAAATCCAGGAAATGAAACACGATTCAGTCAATACCTGGCGTCCAATTTATTTTTTCCAGCAGTCGTCATCCGAATACAGTTCATACTAATGTTTCTCATAATATTGATCGAAAGTTGTAGACTCCCCCATGAGGATGGTGAAATAACTTTGACATTCCATCACTGGATTACTGTCAAGCCTATCATGGAACAAACTCCTAAAAAAATCTTCCACCACTTCACAACTGGACTATAACCTCACACAGAAAAAAATTCCCCAAGTCCGGACATCTCGGGTGACAGGTAAAGACAAGGTTATTCCTGAAGACGATGTTCCGCGATGAGTTTAATTTGCGACGAGATTATTTCAGGCTGACCGAGGTTGGGCCTGCCGTCCAGAAATTACCATTTATAATTCCTCCCTGCATTTCCGGAGCGTACGGGAATAACGGGATGACGATCAGCTATTTCCAAAATTTCGTTCCACGAGATGTCAGGATTCATTTCAGTCGCTTCTGTCAGAATTCTTCGAAGAGGTGCATCCGATATTATTTCGAACAGTTGTGCCAATAAAGCGCATTTAATTGCTTCTGCTACAACGGGCATTTCGTTTTGCTCCTCCTTGAATCGCAGGAAACGCGTGTATTCGTGATACAGCCTGCCTCCAAATGTCACCCATTTTTCTCCCACTGCAGGTCGGATGGTCCGAAACCGTTGGAGGCGCTCGAAACGACATAAGCCATAGCAGTGTGAGAGTATGCTTGTCATCTGGTCAAATGATGTCACTCCTGCATGGTAAAGCTGCTTAGCAGCTTGTGAAATTGCTGGTTTTGTACCCGTGATCAAACAAATGATCTTGTCATATTCTTCAAGTTTCAATTCTTTGAAGACAGGTTTCGCTTTCATGAGGAAATCGTCGAAGTCTTCTGATCCAGTTTGGCTAATGTAGAAACCATCGACCGTTTTAGCTAAAGTGTCCAAAGAATAGGAAGATGGGGCCATGATTTTGTTTTTTATACATGGTGTCAGTAATGTGGGAGGCAACAATGAAAGTGGAGAAATGCGTTGATCTTCTAGTCGAGCAATATAGTCTCTTTTGCGACCCGATGGAGGTATGTCCATGCTAGCTTGTTTGAAAAATCGCTGCAAATAAGATTTCGAGAAAGTATCCCAGACAGCAGTTACTTGCGTTTCAACTTCACACGATTTCTCGTCCGCCTCAATGGGATTGTTAATGAGGGCCAACGCTAGCTGCTTCTCAAAAGCGTTTGCCATAGATGCGGTCACTTCTTGAACAGCGTCTCGCACGAATACCGACAATGACTGACGTGTTTGTGAGCGTATTACGTCCTTGCAGTCGCGCCTCCTGTAACCAACAGAATAAGGGGATTTTAACACTCGTCAGAAGATTCAAGCTAGTGCTCATCCTACGCAGAATGCACCAAATCATCGTTCACAGCGATAAGAATTACGTTGGAGGAATTTCATCAAAGTGAGTGCGCGGTCAAATATAACTTTTGAAAGTCGTGATGGTTCAATGTCCTACACAGTCGACCGTCAAGTAGGGGGGAGCCGGGATTAACTCCATCAACTAATTACATTTATGGACACTTCGATGCAAGCAAATTCATGCTCATAAAAATTCTTCAACAGTGTAGTCAGCCTACGATTTCATAGCACATCCTATAGTCCTATCACGTTAGTAACCCCGCATCAACTGCGACTAGAGTGACGGTTTCCGAGGTACAGAAGTTTCCTTCTTTGAGTTGTCATCAGGGATCCCGGCGGCTACGATTGGTCATAGTGTTTCATCGAGGATGCAAGTGCCCGTGCATTAAAAGCGCGGGCAATTTCAAAAGTGCGCGGCATGAAACATAGTACGTACTGATCAGTATTTGAACAAACTGACGCATTTCTTGAGATATTCCAACTATATTACTCCTCATTACAGTGAACCAAGCAGTTCTTATACAGATTATATAGAAGATTCATTTATATTATAAGCAGTCAAAAAATACTGAAAGTGTAAAAAGGCGGTTTTTCCATGCTCCATGAAGCAACAGCACAAGAGATCTAATATAGTACAGTAATGCATGTGTTACATTGTATACTGTTCATGCATTAACAGCCCTTTTGAAAGAAATGGTTGTGAACTATGCGTTTTAACTGTTCTGGAAATTACGAACATTTTCAACACAACTGAATTCCAAATTTCTCAACAGTGGATCTCTGCTCCCAATTTGTCTGGCACCCTTTCCACTTGATTGCGCATTATCGTGTGCAGTGAACCCAACTGCGCTCATCTTACCCTGGCCCACCAGTACCGGACATTATTCCAAATGAAATACTCATTTTATTCAAATTCTATTTGAACACTTCGTGTGTATTTTAAGCCCACACTGCGGAATAAAGGATGGACAACGACGTTTCAAGGGAAGAAAAAGCTGATTTATTCGTCCGTCAATACACTTCCGTCACGCCAAAATCATCTTTGGTACCAAAAATTCGCATTCCATGAAGAGAAATGCACACTGAGCTGCGTTCACAAGCGGAAAACCACAAAATGTCATAAAAATTACATTACGTCAGTATAACTTTGTCCCATCGCATACACCGCAACAAGAGACAAGCCATGTGCTATGTAAAATTTACAGTTATTCACAACACCATTTCTTCAGAAGTCGTATTAAATGCTTGAAAAAAAATCAACCGTCAAAACCGAACGGCATCAGCTGAGTATTTCGACAATGTCAGTAAACCTAGCACCTTCGTAACAACTCAACGTACTTCGAACTCAATTCACATGAAAAGCATTGAGAAAATACATCACATGAAACGCAAGAATAATTTCCCCACATCACAATACTGCAGTCAACTCAGGATATGTTCAATGATGAACATAAAATCATGTTTGCACACGATCAAAAATTGAGTGAATCAGGCAAGAAGGAAATCCACAAAAAAACCAGAATAATTTCAAAAATCTCAACAAGCAACGTTACTGTGAACACATTCGTCGGATCAGTTGCATTAAAAATGTACTGTAACAGTATTTTTGCGGCTACGAATTCAGCATTTTCCCGTTCACAACGAGAGATGAAGGATGGAAGCGAGTCAAGCGACGATACTTGAATTAAGCAAAAAATTCTTCTGGTGGCACGTCAAATCACTAAATAGACCGTCGGGTAAGAGAAACAACTGCCGAAGCGTCTCTGAATTAAATTCGACTTTTAGTAACCACAAATTCGAGAACCTCTCCGTCTAAAATCAAGTTAATATTACAATACACATTATTCAGCTACAATTCATGGAGAATCCTGGTTCATGAACTAATTTTAGAGAATCCCTGGAAGATCAGATCAACGTAAATGTTTCCGTGGTCGAACAAAATGTGGTAACAGCCCATTACTCGTTTTTTCGTCTTATTTGATTACCCGGACTACGGCACCCTGATGATGCACATTCAACTGCAATTTTAATGGGAGTACCGTACAATAACTACATTTTCGTCCAAAATGCATTGCTTCAAGATCTAAAGGAGCATCAATAATAATTCATCAGGCAATTTTGAAATACACTTTTCGTGTCTGATGATCATCACTGATGTCGGAATTAGTCACATTACAGCATCCGATAACGAAAAAAATCGGACACCAATCATAGCAAAAAGATGACGTCTTTTCTTACTTTAAGCTACAACGGAGCAGAAAAATATTCATATTACAGGATTGAAAAGTGGTTGCTTACTCTTGCTTCCATCCTTCATCGTATCTCATGACCGCATAAAATTGAAGTGAAAAAATTAATGAATCTTATGTTGGTGGATGTTCTTTCGTCGGTGAAAGCGTTGGTATTTTGCTGCTCGCTTTCGCATGCTGCTGAGCTTTGTTCCTGTCGTACTTCCCGTGCACCGTGGCAGTGACATGTGGCGAAGTAGAACGCCTAGCTGCAGAGCCAGGTCTTGGGATCGACGTCGGTTTTGCTCCGATCACCGGCTTGTTTCCACTATTTGCACTCCCACCCGATGAACTCGCATTGGATGAGGCATTCGAGCAATTAGACGCCAGCGAAGACATGGACGAGAAGTTTTTGTCGCGACCCAATGGATTCCCAACACCGTGACTCAAGGAGATCGGAATTTTTGAAGGGGAAGTAGGACTCTTGGCGGTGGGTTTTGTCGTTACTGACGCCGCGGAAGGTTTGAATGTGGAAAAGGAAGTCTTTTGAGCTGGGGTGAACGACGTGGGACGCGTTGCACCGGCGGGAGACGATGGACGCGCACCCAAGGCAATCTGAACATCCGAACCGGTCATGTCAGTCGTTCGCACAGACGGGATCAACGGCTTGGAGATGGATTGTGGAAAATATCCCGGAGACGTCGTTGTGGGTTTTGCGGTTCCAATAATCGAAGGTTTCAAATTTTGACTAGCTTCTTTCAACGCTGAAGAAGTTAAAAGCGGGCCTCGACCCCCAAGGATTGATGATGAACTCCAAGTTGTACCAGGTTTTGCTGGTTCCGTTTTGTTGCTAGTAGTCGATGACGGGAGCTCGACAGTCATTTTCCCCAACCGAACCTGGTTTTGATTCAGCGTTGTCGATAATGGAGGCACCACGGCAAGTTTCGGCTTGGCTGCAATCTCAGGCTTTGGTTTCTGAGCACAGACATTCTCTGCGGTTGGTTTCACAGAAGTTGCTTCTTTCTTGTTCTTTGCTTCCTTCCAAATGTCAGCTTCGCATCCTCCTCGAGTTTTCAATTCAGAGAGTATCTCGGAGAGGAGACCACCGGAGCTGCCGTCACTACTGATGTCATCACCATCCGCAAGAAGACCTTTACTCGCCCCGTGTGACGCACTCGGTGGTGACAACGGAGCTTCAGTTTCCTCCGCTATCAAAGACAACGGCGCAGATTCGTGGATCAGAGGTTCTTCATTCGATTTACGGGTTGAAGTCATTCGTTCCGAAGGTTTCATGGATGTCACGATCTCCTCCTGCGGCTTCGGTGGCGGTCTTGGAGGTGGAGGACTAGATGGCCGATGCGGTGGCACAGGTGACGGCGACGGAGAGGCTACGCTATGCGGTCGTCGTCCGGATCCGAAACGAGGCGCTTCCATCTTCGCCTGCTTATTATCAATTGACTTACGAATGTTTTCAGATTCTGGATTTCCCGTGCCTGGAACTTCGTTGATGCTTTCAAGTTTAGTCGAAGTGTTTGTGGGAAAATCAGATTTTCCAACATGGCTCTGCGGTCGAGGTTTGATGGAAACGATGGTTGCAGGTGCTGCATCTGATGTTGGTTTGACGACAGCGTGCGACGGTGACCAGGAATTCCGAGACTTCTTTTTTTCATCGTCAACAGTTTTCGGCTCTTCGGAAGCAGGTTCACGATAAGATTGCACTGGCACAGTTTTGACATTTACGTCCACTTTCTGGGGTATCGGGGCAGATATTTCCAATGTCCTCAGATTCCGACGCTCTTCGCTGCCTCGTAACCCAGGATGATTCTTGAACCTGTTGAAAAAAAAATCAAGTCATAAACTCGATGGAGAAGGAGAATAATTGATACCCTAACAAGAAAATATTTTTGCTGGCGCTAGAGGCAAGTACCGAAGCCGAGAATCGCTATTGACCAACCCGTTATCTGTTTTCACAACTTCTGCTCCCAACTATCGCTTCATGAATGCCAAATGAGTTCCAAAAATTAAAACTTCCGTTTTTTCTTCTTCACTCAAAAGCTATACGTCTCAGACGCCTTTTTCTTCGCCGTTGCATAGTGTTGTCAAAACTTCGGTAAGGTTACCTCAGGATTAGTTGTTACCATAATCTTCGAATTACAGGCTTGTAGGCCACACTTCAATTGATAATGTCCCAAATTCGAGCGCAGAAGGCCCTCAAATTCCCTGGAACTTAGTGAGACCCCCACATGCAGACGCCTCGACCTGCGGACAATTCGACCTAGGGACACTTATTTTACCATAAAAAATCATCAAAAAGTCCCAACATGAGGACATTGACTCGACATAGGGACATTTTGCAATAAAATTGCAAATATATTTCAGGCTCAGGAATCATATATTTCCAGCCCTAAAATTGATGTAAGAAAAGTTCTTGGGCATTTCTCTTGCCAATTACCATCCATTTAGCTAATTTTAAAAAATTACCTCTAGCATAGAGTGACTTCCTTCTCTCTTTTTCACTTGAATTTTATTTTTACAGAAAATGCCAAGACTTATATGTACTGTACAGATGAGGTATCAGTATTCAATTCCCTAAATGTTCATATTGTGTTGAAATATATTCATTGAATCAGTTTAAATTGGGAGACAATTAGGGACACTCTTGATGCACCAATTACGTCCGCATCTCGGGGTCTCACGTACTGTACATCACATTTGAAATGCTTGAAATTAAAGGTTTCCATGTTTCTGGTCTAGTAAGACTAGCAAATCAGGCGACACCTACCCGAAATTACACAAAGCAAAACCAAAACGCTAGAACTAAAAGAACTATGAGGCTGAAGTACAGAAGCACCCGAAAAATTCATCAAGCGTACTTTTTTGAAATGATCTCGTTGTGTTAGTGAATCTGAAACAGCTCTGGATTACGACGACAAACCTGTTGTTTTTTGGCAATGTGCTACATTTGTTATGGTTCTTTCCAGATTTTCCACTCTCCACATCCGCAGCGTCGGTTTCCGCCACATCACTACCAACGTCGCCGCTGCCACGGAATGACGCGAAGAGCCGCCCGAACTCCTTCCCGACCTGTCGATGCGACTGCGTTCGCGCTATATTCGCCACCAACGTTTGCGGAGCTCCGTTCAAAAACGTCGACAGCCGTCCTGATAAGCCGGAAAATCGCTTCTCGCTGGTGCCGCTACTCGGAGAACCGGATCTCTCGCGGTCGAACAATCTGGCAGCTAGACTTGCTGGACGATCAAGTCGCTTCGGGCTTGGTGGCCCGGGAGTAGGCAAAGGTTCCACTGGTGCCTCAGGATTTGGGGACGGCGAAGCTTCGGGGTCTTCATCTTCTGGTGGCGGACAAGACGGAGGTGGAGGTGGAATGTCGGGGGCACCAGATGTAACCAACAACGGCGCGCTGATCACCGGACGTGCGTCAGGTGACGCGAATTTAACATTCTTCTTCATAGTTCTAAAAAATACATCGGAAGAAAACGAATTCAAAAACGTATTACGGTATTCAGATCACAAAAACCTTAAAGTAAACGTTCAAATGCGCTCACATTAAATCCCACGAAAAAATGAATCACAATTTCATAAATACAGCAGTCACAAAGCATCACGCAGGAATTTAGAGGCATCTTGAAAAACTTTACAAAAATAAGAAAATCGCAAGTTATTTCTGAACTGCAGATCATCGTTACACATACGAACATTGAAACATGAAATTTCTCTCCTGATCCCCCGGGAACTTCCATCAACGATTAAGCAGCTCTTCCACATCGATTCCTCTGCGAAATCTGCATTTCTCTGTACAGAAATGTCTCCCTTTACTAGACAACTGTTTGCAGCCATCCCATGAAAATTAACGCTATAGAACCGCGTTTGTAGGTTCAAATATGTTTATTGATCGGGAGAACTCGATTTCGCAAGGTGGTAGATTTCTCGATGAACTAAAGGCAAACAAAAACCACACAGACGGCAATATGTCCACGCATGAGGAAGTCTACAACAACACTTATGGATAGGACAGGCACAAACCTCGGACTAGACCGAACGGGCTGCGGCGCAGGCTGTTTCGGCACTGGCGGGGCCTTGCGAGCCGGCTTCAGAATTTGTCCATTGGGACCGGTCACAACTTTTACAACCGCGTCCGGCTTGCAAGTGAAATCAGCAAACTTCTCTCCGCCGGGGTTCTGTCCCAAAGAACCGTTACTGCTGTCGAATGACGAGTCTGAAGACGCACTGGATGCGGCTGGTGAGTTCGAAGAGCGCATCATGCGCTGGCGCTCTTTGACCGCCGTGGTCGGGGACGACCCGCCGCCATCGCTCCTCGTCGGCGAACTGACTCCGTTCCTAACGACCGTTTCCACACGACCGCGGCGCAAGAAGCTCAGGCTGTCAGGCAACCTGCGATGCGTCGCAAGTGGCGATGAAACAAGAGCGACGGAAGACAGAGAGACGCAGAGACAGAGAATGCGTGTACGAGGCAAAGGAAGAAAAGAATAGATGGAAAAAGGGGAAGGAGAAACCGAAATTTTATGGTTTCATAAGCCCATCACAAAGCGACAATGCACGAGGGTCGGGGATAGGACGAGGGATTTAAAAAGCGAGGGATGCGAGTCAAATTACAGCCGCGCACGGACTGGAAGCCCGCGCGTCTTATAACAGAGGTTCTCAACCAGCTCTCGAGAAAAATAGAACAGCGTAATTAACTGGAAGAACACGAAAAAATCATTTGAAGATTCACCGTAATCGGTGAAAGTAAGGCCCGAAAACTATTACTCTTTAAGCGTTAATACTGGACACCTTCAAAAAATGATGATCTGCACAAAAGGTTGAGCGAATCAAAAAGGTTGAGAAACTCTGTCTTGAGCGAATAAGTACTTTCTCAAAACGCGGGAAATTCTCCTTAAAAACTCGATACAAAATACCCTTTCCTTCTACAAACGAACATGACACAGTCAACCATCGGAAATCAATAAGATATCCTGCGTCCCTTTCGATACATTTCCACGGGGAGCTTCAAGTTTTTCGAGGCGCACACATTCAACACACAGAAAAAAAGTATAAAATAGACAAATGAAACCAAAAAAGAATAATACACATGCAAGACTTTCACAATATCGTAAAAGGCATAAGCGAAACACCACAGATGAAACGAGCTCACGCCACCCCTACGAGCTATGGTTCGAAAGTTCATCAACAAGATCATGTCACCGGAAAATCGGGTTTTAATCCGAAAAAAAGATCGCATTTATATAATCACAACACGTTCAACCGTATACAAAAGCAACAAATCGCAATCATTACGCACCGTTGTTCTTCCACCGCCTTTTTGTCTATCATTAACAAGAACGAGGAAAAAAAACATTTCATGACAAGAGAGCCGGAACATAAACCGAATTCCATGCAACGGTGATCGAATCGAAGAACAAAACCACACAACGTGATCCCGAACGCATACACTCCAACACACTAAGAAATTCCGAACGATAACTCTTGCACTAAACCTCAACCTTACGCCGGAAACGGATGTGTATAAGAATCCAAACATGCAGCACTCGAAAAAAGGAGAATACGTGACCTGAAACTGGACAATAAACTACACTAATCTTAAGAGGAACAAAACACATACGCTTTGATTTTCTTCATGCCTCCGAAGAATGGTGACTACAAGGTGATTGAAGAAAGACAATTTGAATCAATAGGGACAAACAAAAAAATCCTTCCATCTGCATGCGTCAATATCACTGCTGCTTCAACGAGAATTGTTCCAGACCAATTCCCGAATTCGCTAGATATTCGTTCATTACACGAGAAAACCTCCCGAGGATTTTGAGATAAATGCAAATGCCCGCAGCAATGCTCAAGGACAGTTCGACACGAATTTTGACGTGAGCCAAAGCCAAAATTTATAACACTCTCATCTACAAAGTTAAAGCTTATTTTTGTAGTACAGTAGTTCCGAAGACTTTCAAGATCATTTCGGAAATCCGAGACGCGACCAAATATGGGCAAAGTCGACGAATTCGTATCTGCTTCATGGGCTTTCAAAAAAACAGGATGAGTTTAAATATAAATTGAGGAGTTGAACCAAACATTACCCTTCAGTAATTTTGAAGCGCCGGATCTTCCGCGGATTTAGAATGAAAAAGCAAATCCACGCCGTGGAAATAAAAATTTCCAAAAGTCCTGAACTCCCTGAATCGATAAAGTTCTTTGAAAACAATTACTGCACTTTTGAGATGTTCGTATGAATATGTCATTAATCAAAGACAATCAGAAAACGAGGATCTTTCGATAGCGAAGTTTTCAAAACATTTCCACATAGATCCACGGATGCTTCATTTGCATGAGAGAGAATACTCAATAGATCGAAACATCGATATGGAATTTAAAATTCATTTGAAAACACGATTTCTCGTTCAGCTTAGGAGTTAACGCTTCAAGATATACAAGCTCAAGAAAACTGAAAAAGTAATGTACAGTACGTATAAACTTCTTAATAAATTTTCAAGCAATGCCCGAATCTCCGCTCGTCAGTTCATCCTCCAACGCATCTTCAAAACATTCCGTATGATCATCACAAGTCGTTCGAATCAACTTCGGCCGGGACACTTCCAGTGCCGTTCTTCCTCGCGACCCGCCGACGCCTGACGGGATCTTTTGGAACGGCACCGGAGGCGCCGCACGTACCGGCCTCAACAAGGGCTCGTCCTTCTTCCCTGCTTCAGGAGATTCGATAGGACGAGGAAGAACCACTCGCGCAGGAAAATCAGGGGAGGGAAGCAAAGCGGAAGGCGCAGTTGGCGAACAAACTGGGGGTATGGGACGCGCTGGTGGTACGGAAGACACGTACTTAGCGTTCCGGAAGGCGGCCGTGGCGGCTGCCGCACAGGCCGAAGGATCAATCGGGAAACGCCGGGTTTTGGCAGCATTGGGCGGCGTCCGGCTGCGCCCGACCCGCGGGGCTCGTTTCCACCACAGAAGAATGCTTTCGCGGCGGCCATAGTAGAACAGGCAGACCAGGATGGCAGACACAGGTACGATCCCCAAGAAAATGATGTACATGGCTTTGGAGAATCCGTCCACGCCTGAAATGGAGAAAAATGTATCCCAACCTCCAGATGCTTCCGTGCGATTGAAAACAGAAAAGAAAAATGAACGGAAATCCGCTGTTACCACTTTTGTCCGAAGCAGGCCCAGAATCAATGCTCCCTCCAGTTCCGAAGTCATCACAGTAAGGTGGGGCGTAACCCAAATTGCAGTGGCAATGTCCTTTCGAATTGCAAACTCCTTTTCCGTTGCAATTGTAAGGGCATTTTGACACCTTCAGCGACGCTAGAGGGACACACTTCTGATTGACGCACAACTGAAATGAAAACGTGAGACATTAGCGTTAAGCGTCAAACATTCTGCACGACCTCCAAGGATTCCTTGATAGATAAATCCCCGTTCTTTTGAAAAAAATATATTAATAATCAATTTCAACACATTTTAATCGCCAAATCGTCGTCCGGTTTTTTATTTATATTTGTTTTCTCTTCTAGGCTGCCGAGTGTTGCATCATAAAGCCAGAGAAAAATTAGAACTTTTTTTAATGCGAAAAGGTACGGAAATTTATGTGGTATAGTACAGTAAAAAAGATCGGCCTAGTGCATTACTACGGCAATGCCGAAATGGCGAAGCAAGAAATTAGACGGGTGCTTTCACAATGGCAGAACTTTTCCCTGCGTAACTTTATTCGCGTCATTAAATCCCTTCAGTTTATTCACGTAATCTCGAATATCAGAAACAATTCATTACCGCGGCCCAACGACGAAAATGTCGATGCTTGACCTCACCAAACTTTGAAAAATAACATTTCCAGGACGTTTCTTCAAGAACATGCGCGACTCATTCGAGTGAGTACGATATTCACAGCTGGACATGAATTGAACATAACGTCCCAAAGACGGTGTAACTCACATAACCCAACAAAAGTTTGCCAAAAATGAAAGAAATATCACATTACCTTATCGGAGCCGCATTTCGCTCCATCAGGAGCAAGACCGGGATCGACTTCATTAAGTCCCAAATCCACGATCGCGGTTCGACAAGGAATTGCTTCCTCTTTGATAGATTTTCCATTATCCACGGGGAGAAATTTGTGGCTAAGAATAGCCACACTTTCCATTCCAAACTCCAAGCGTTCGTTCTTATGCGAACAGTGAACCATGCCACACATGACATGCCTATAAACAGAACATCATTCATACATCTTCAACGACTATACTTCTGGAGGATGAACTTCCTGACTGTACGAGAAATGCGTTGAATCAATTCCATGAGCGACGGCACACAAATCTGAACAAATGGATCCCCTTTTAAAGAGGGTGAAAACTAGGGAAAAAATAAATCCCCACAAACAGAGCAAAATACGAGTCTTGCAGGACTTACTCAAGAGCACAGGAAACGTAGGTTTTATTTTCTCTGTAATATCCGCAGTTTCCGTGACGAGTACCCTGTCTGTTCATCTCGTAGCACTTCTCGTCCGACGAGTTTCCTGACGGACCCCACAGTAACCTGCATTGATCATGATGCGTGCGGCATGCACCCAAATAGCAATAGGCCTGTCAGGAGGAAAATAGCACGAATTTAAATCAGTGAAATTGCCACCCGCTCCGGATTACGTACGTGACCGCTGTTACAAGTAGTTCCATCTTGAACTTTCACGTCCTCCGGACAAAACTCGGAATTGCCGGTGCAAAACTCCGGCAAGTCGCATTCATTCGACGATTTGCGGCATTCCGTCGCAACCGATTTCGGTGAGCAGGTCTGTTTATATATAAAAGAGAAAATGTTTGTTATATATATCAATTTTTAACCACATCCCAAAGACACGGACGTTTCATGAAATCCTTTGGTATGTGAATTTTTAATACAAGGTATCGTTGAAGATCTCAACATTAAGAATTCGGCATATTCGACAGATTTTTCCCGCATAAATTTTCTCCGTTTTATACTTTCATTTCTGAAACCAGTCATCTTCATAGAAATACCAAAATTACTCTTCGAAAAATAACGTCCAGGATTTAAGGATTTCAAGATGAAATTAACAAGCGCTAGAGAGACGGAGTAAGTCGAATAGTGGATCACGAGAATCAACTTTTGCGCAACGAGGCCTGTAACATATGGGCAGAGATTAATTAGCGATAAACCTAATCTGAACTGGCACCTGGCTTTTTCTAGACGATGTCAGGCTGCAAAAGGCTTTTCGCGTATCAAGAAGGAAGGTAACGGAGGCCTTGAGAAAATGAAAATCAAACCTAAAACGTTCGAAAAGAAAAGTTAATCGAGGTCTTGCTAGAATGAAAAAGCTGATTGAATATCAAAAAATCTCGACATCATTGCGATTAGCGTGAAATACAAGCACAATTTAAAACTAATGTCAACAGCCTGTGTGGGATGATCAAATGTCATGTAAGTTCAATACAGTAATGTAAAGGAGATTCAATAAACAAATAAAAATGTCAGCAATGAAGCAACATCATGCAATTCACAATCCCGCTCATCTTTATTTGGGCCAAATGGTCAATCTCGAAGTTGAAAGTACCTATATTCAGACGGCTTTGATTCCTTCACAGTGATGAAGAAATGGACAAGATTAATTTAATACCCAGTAAATTAAGGCACAAATAAATTGAGCTCTACTGTATTTTTACTATTTTTTTTCTCTGGATTTTAGTACAGGATATGGATTTTAGTGGATTTTCAGTTACAAGTGTCGGTGACTCAATAAAATTGTATCTACTGTACTTCCTCGTTTCATCATGAACGATGCAGAAAATTGACGACCAGTATCACGCGAGAGCGATAAAAAGCCCGCATTACGATGACAAGCGTAACTTACTTTCAAATCACAGCACTTCCCGGTCGCGCAAGTCGCGTTCGTCGCCAGACGACACGTAGTCGCATCGCAACACGGATTGTCCGCACATCTGTCCTGCAATCCACAATCGCACTCCTCGCCCTCCTCCAGGAAACCATTACCGCAAACAGGACCAAACAAGGTCGCCGGCAAGTTCTTCAAGCAGTGATCCATGCCATGATCGAACGCGAGCTTCAAGTACTCCTTGCTGCATGAGCTCCAATGCGACGGACGGGTGGGAGATGAAGAAGGTGCCATGATGCATCGTGCCTCGGGACACTCGCACGTTTCCTTGTCGTGCTCCATGCCAAAGTTGTGGCCCATTTCATGCGCAACGGTCGTGGCGACCAGGCCCACCACTTCTGAATGATCCATGTTCACTCCGCCGGAGAATTCATACGTGCAAATCGGACCCTTAAGAGCCTTGCCAACCACTCCTCCTTCGAACTTGGTTCCGCTAAACGTAGAATAGAAAAGTATCAGCGTGTTTCAATTGAAACTTCTAAGACATTGCTTGTTCAATGAATAAAACAGGTGATCCGATTTTTGCGCGCAAATAAAAAAAAAATACATTATCAATTGTTTAAAATTTTACGTTTGCTATTAACTATTTCGAAATACTGTATTCCCTCCCAACGCACCAATCAATTCTCTTGATCCAAGAAGCGAAGCACTGTACAGTACTGTAGTTCTCAAATTCCAAATCATAGCACTTCGATCCTTACAAAATTAATACTGCAACCACAAAATATTGAATGCCACTCCCAAATTATTGATCATCACAAGACTTAGGAGTAGTAATACGCACGTTTCATTTTATTCTTTTAAATTATTTTTAATTGATATTGACTTACAAGAAGACTTCTAGACAGGATGCTTGAAATTGCAAAAGATTATCAACGCTGTAATCCCTGATGGATAAAATATGAATTGGCTATCGGCTACTTTCCTTTCATTGTTCCATCACTCATGGTTGCACGGTTATGGGAGTGAAAAATGTGGACATAGTACATGGGAAGACAACACACAGATATGAAAATCGTTTCGATAAACTGTATCTGCTCATGTGAACAGCTATAATTCCGCCAGATAAAAATGAAATGCAATTCAGTCTATACCACAAAAGTGTCGACTTTTGCAAAGCGTTCAAACAATAGAGCGACATTCTAAAAATTACGTACAGTATATAGTTATTTACTGCACTCAACACCCAGAAAATATACCCAACAAGCTGATAGGCAACATAATAAAAATATTTAAAGCATCAAAATCATGCTAAAAAATTCCACATGTGAAATGAGACACACATAAAATGTCATGAAATAAGATCATATCTCTTACTTCCTAGAGGATTACCGCTCATTTCCGGATCATCATGACAGGTCCATGATTCCTCAAACCAAAATAAAAGAGTTGGGCGCAATTGAATAACCCGAATGACTAGCACTTTTCGCTTTATGACTAGGTATTTTTTTCGTTGCTCAGAAACAAACAAAAATGACTATAAATAGAATTACTTCCTGAAAAATCAAATTGCGAAAAATCCGACCCACCGAGAGATAAAACGGAAACATTTTACAGTGATTACAGTTTANTTTAAAAGGCAGATAAGCTCGGCAAGGCGCCTTGAACCCGCCAACATTTCTGTCCGAAGAACATATATCCTTTTTGATAATCATAGATAGCTCTTCAAGCAAGATCGTACATGGCTTTTCAAGCATATGCCTTCAGTAATTCGATCCTGGAGATCACATTTCAGCTTCAATAATAACAACACTAAGCCTCAGATATGATGCATCCTTTGGACAAGCCATGAAGCATTAATGTAAAATAAACGAACAACGAGCCATCTCTCAGGGAGTGGCAACAGCCCACAACAATCCCTGCATAATCAGAGCAGAAAACCCGCATCTGCGCGTGTGTGGCACAACTTACGTCAGCAACTGAGCGTTGTCGTTGTTTTGCATCTTCACCAGTCGCTTGCGTCGGTAATGCAGGAAGTTCGTCAGGGTTTCGTCTCCGTTCGGTTTCAACGCGATCTCGTCATGCTCCGTCCAGATCACGACGCCCACCAGACCAACGAATATGTCAAGTGGAGCGTAGAGCTGCAGAATAAGGCAAAGCATTAAACAAAATTAACAATCAAGGACTAAAACATGAGCAGATGAACGCAAATCGTCACGATAAAGCAAAAATTTTCAAAAATCTTTGGGAAAATGCTAAAAATTACAGAACACGCTCCTGATTTTTACATTTTTGAGAGATACTGTACATGAGATTTGGTTTAAAAGTTTCTTCTTTGCAATACCATTCAAAAACAACGTTTATTTTTTACCCAACTTTTCCGAGCCAGAAACCTGCAGGAAGGCTACAAGATAAATAATACAACTTACAACATGCACCAGTTCATTGGTGAAATATTTAAAGGCATAACAAAAATGAAAAGCTTCAAATCTTTTTTTTTAGCAAGAATAAAAATGTCAAAAATCAGAACACTTTTTGTTTCATGGCAAAAAGGTTTTTAAGATTGAGCCATCATCACCACGATTTTAAAATCGTCTGAAATATGTGATGGAATAGCACCTAGAAAGATCTGCAAGCTCACAGAACATGCAAACGTGGCAAATCAATTCAATTTTCTCAAATTGACGAGGGTGTAATTTGAAAAGCCTTATCTTCACTTTTAATCACGGCGAGCAAAAATCAGAACCAGGAACAGAAAATGATTAAATATCACGCAAAAATCGTATCCATCACCATTCACCCGGATGGAGCCCAGCCCGAGAAGTCCTGTACTGTGCTAATAGGAAAAAAGCGTACGAACCAACCTAAGTACTGTACTGCACTCGGGACTGGTCACTAATCCCAGTGAATGCTCTGTAAAACAATCACCCCAAGCCTTTCAACTGACCTTAATGTGGGAACTGGGGACTCCGCAACACTTGTCCAAGAAAAAAATTTTAAGTGAGAAAAAAGGAAGGTGCCTTAGCGGCAAACACGAAGTTTGTTGTTAAAATACTTCCAACTTAAATACTTTATTGCCTTAAAGTTCCATTGTTCGACTGCACGAGTTCGTGAACCATACAGGACAGCAAAACAGAGCCCATGGAATCCCGCAACTCAGTATTTTTCAATAAGTATGATATGCAACATTTATTTCTGCCATGTTGTGTGAATTTATATAACTGTAAATTTAAATGAATAAAAAACATAAATTACCAACAGACTGAGGAAGGCGGGGTACAGTGAAATACTTCACAGTGAAATACTCGAGAGAATTGGAGACGAAATCTATTTTAAAACGCGCCTTTATTTTTCTTATAACTAAAATAAAAAATGTGTGCACAGTATATTGCACGAAAATTTAAGAAGATTTCTGATCTAGAGGGGTATAGCAAAAACATTCGCGATACAAAATTTTTTATGTGAAAATTTAGGTTCAACTTGTAATGCGGATCCATAAAAAATAAAAAATCTCTGCAAGAAACAAACTTTGCTGGAACATAAAAAAACAAAATGTTACCTTCAACTTCGAATTAAAGAGGAAAGTTTGTTATAAAAATAGCATGCGCACGTTCTTTTCGCGTTTCATAGAACCTCTTTTCCTCAACCACAATATGATATCCGTGAGAACAAAGTTCGATTATAAAAAAAAACGCAATCCTAAACAATGGCTCCGATTTGAACGGTCAAAAGAAGCGGTTTATCAAAACTGTGATGCAGATAGCATGAAATCCAAGTTCAAGGCTAAAATCTCGCCCTTCTCGGCGTTTATACATCCTATTGAACGCAATTATGCTTCTATTCATTGTCAAATCTTGCGAGATAATCGCAACATGACCAGCGAAAGTATCATGTCTGTGGAGACGTGCAAACAACTTGACCAACCAGTTTTTTTTTTCCGTAGTAATTTCAATGCATTATACACCATCGGACGAAACCTTGACAAATGCATCATGATAACTACAGGGAAACCCCGGAGACAGTTCGCTTGGAGATAATGATAACGTAGCAAAAGTTATTTATAGCCACCTCTTTTCTTCCCTGGTGTGAAGTGTGAAAGTCCCGGAAACGCATTTTTCATGAATTGTACTTTGAATAAATTAGTACGGTTAGACATTCAGACACAGAGCCTCGAAATGGTATCTTACGATCGGTATCAGCCTTCTGCACTCATTCAAGTTTTTTTCAAATTTTCCCACAGTCGAGCAAGAGTGAGATTGTTCACAAGAGCAAATCATTAAATGAACAACTCTATCATTTCCTGTATTTCCCAGTCTTTAATTTAAAACTCTACCCGATTTTTGTGCCGTCGATGACAAATAAGCAAAAAATTCGGCAGTAGCGCGTCACCGATTCCATTCATGCATGATTTAAAATCTGATAAGCTGATTTTTATGAGGTTCTTGATTAAACCAGATGCCTCAAAAATACAATACATACACTCAAACCCTATCCCAAGATGCCACAGAATTATTACCGGTAATATTTTGTCAGTGCACTTGATGGTTCAGGTGAGACAAGTCCAAGTATGAAGAATAAAACGTCTCAATTCCAGCTTTTGTCGTAAAATTAAATTTTTTAACGAAAAGGATTACGAAAATCTGGCGGAGACTACGTGGAAAATTTCGGGAAAAAACTGAATTGAAAAAAAAATTGCGATTGGCTGGTGTTAAATTTATCAAATCACGGAAATCGGACACTGCTCGTAATCCTAGTCTAGTAATAAAATTTATATCCCGAGTGTACTAGCCACATGACTTCTATACAGTACACATAAAAAAAAAACCAGACCCAATCAAACGGATTTACAGAGGTTTAAAATTTTTCGCATCTCAGGCTCCAACTCTTATGAGGTTGAAAAACGTTTTTTAGGACGAGAAAATGTATCGACTCACGGAATTGACGATGTTGGCAATGGTTTTGGCACGGTTGAAAATTTTCTCCTGGTCTTTCCCGTGTTGCTCGTAGATGGTTTTATCGACAACGAGCAAAAGTTCGACGTATCGACTGCTCTGATCGGAATTCCACGGCTGACGAACACTGCTTTTCCCGTTCTCTTTACTTCCACTTCCGGTTGCACCCACGTCAATCGTGTTGATCTCGTCCGGATTCGGTAAACTTCTCCGTACCTGCGGATAAAAATCGTCAAAAAAACATTAATACTGAAATGTATCAACAAAATCTGATAAAATTCACACACAATCAGTTCATTTTAATATGCTCTGCTCAAAAATTAAAGTTTCGCCAACTGGGATTTTCCAGAATTAAAAATACCTTAAATTAAGTCAGAACAAAAACGAACCTTTTCCATTCGCGAGCTACGGATAATTTTTAAACAAGATACTGTACGACTGCGAATTAAAGGGTGAAAACTTGCTGCTGAATAACTCGAGGACTTGAACACATTCCTATGCAATATTTATCCCCGTCAAGGCCGCAATTCCCTAAATATTTTTCCACGGCATATAAAGGGTCTATAAATGCATAAATTCGGCATTTTAGAACTTGTCAGAAGTACCGCAATCTTCATCGAGTTAAGGCAGCATGGAGAGGGCAGACACACATTCCGTCAAAATTGAGGGCAATTAGCCACTGGCGGATAATAAACAATTTTTTAGAAGAAGAAAATTGGTCAAAATTTAAAGCACAAGCGTCTGCTTCGCCGCTACTTCGCATGATGGCCCATCAATCATCTACCTGTATTTTATATAACTACCGTAACACCTTAGCAACAATTCATCTTGCTCTTTTTTTCGGCGCTTGAATGAACTGAGAAGGAAAAAATGGCGGAATCGCTAACATTAGTCTCAATACAATTTTTCACACGCGAAAGATCCAATCAAGCATTCGCATAATCAATATACCGTCCTTTCGAATTTATTCATAGATAAATGTTCAAGGAACCAATAAAACGGAGTGCCACTATAAGAACGATGGTTAAAAATATTTTCGTCAGTACCTTGAAGAGAATATCTCTCAGCATACAAGTCCATTAATATTAAATTACCGGTTACAGTACATCCATCTCCGAGACAAACAAGGGGAGAACATGAAAAGATAATTAATACATAGGAATTAACTCGCAGTTTCGTCAAGGCCGCAGCATTTTAAAATGATTAAAAACTTCTCCAGTGCGTCAAAAATTTCGTTAAATTTCCGAATTCTAGCTCAGCAATCGAAAATTCAACGCAATCTTCATGTTCATCACGCAGACACAAAAGCATTTTCAACTTCTCGCTCGGCAAGACACACTTGATTTTCACTACGCGAACAGAAAAGGTCAAGATAAAAACAATTTTGGCGGAACATTGTTTCAGGTACGAAACAATTTCAACAACATATTTTTGTAATATTTGATGACAGATCAATTTTTCAAAATGCGACGTGCATGTTTAAATTTTAAACTCTGTGCACCACCTTCATTTCAAGCCAGTCATCAAAAAGTTTTCAGGAAATAGTGGAACGCCAATTCACAAAATTACGTCCATCACCATCATGGATGCCAAAACCTGAATAAAATGTCGGTGCGATCTAATCGAGATTCACAAATTTAAATTGCATCAACTTCTAACAAGTGTAAAGAAGCCAAAGCAACCCAAAATTTATTTGGCACAGTGGAATTGGAGCAGAGTCCGAAAACAGCGAAAACATCTGGACCACATCACTCTTGATTCGTCTTGCTTCGTTTCACGCGCAGGCGGGGATTAATAACGAAAAGCACGCGGGCTCATCGCTTCGGTTTCCATCAGCAAAAATGCTTTTTACTCAACAACCACAAGATCAAGCTCCCGGTCAAAAATCGAAGAAACGAAAATAATAGAGTTTTCAACCAAAATAAATTCTGCTGCTTCCAAGATTTTCAAAGTGAAGAGTCCAACAAAGCCGCTCGACAGCACAAAGCTTTAGGTAAGATCCGAGCCCAACAGCCGCAACAAGAACAAAAAACTATTATTTGACCTTTTGTTATTTTTTCAACTCAATCCTCTCCTTTCGATTCATTTTTTCAGGAATAATAATGATCATTTGATGGTTTCAAAATATTCCAGATGACCAGAAAATTAAATGAAAGACGTTTTCAATACAATTTTCAAGTAAACCTTATTCAATATCGAACTAACCTAACGTGAAACTTAATCAGCAAGACTTATTCTACCCAAAACCTGATTAACATAAGAGTACAAGTATGTCTATCCAGCCTCACATCACTGAACCCATACATACGGAACCAAACTTAATGCCCAAATGATCTAATTATCTGAACGAACTACAGCATCATTAAAGGTACCATGATAAGCATAAACAATAAAACTTTTATAAATTACTGTATATCAGTAACACCCAGCGGAAGTGAGTCAGTCATGGGAGCATTTGCAGGGGTTGGGAGATTAATGAAAGCGGAGTCGGAAGCACAACTTTGTCAAACTTGTTTTTGACTCATACCATCAATAAGCACGTATTTCTGATTCACTCCTTCATCAGTTCGCAACGAAGAAGACTTCCTCGTCGGTTCTGCCAAGGTCGGTCACGCACCAACACGCAATCCAATTTCGAGGTTAATCGCATTTTGATTGGCATTCACGTAATGGGAACAATACCCAGATAATTTTCCAGTATATGACACATGTTAAACTTTTCGAGATAAGAACAGGTGATTTGGGTTTCTACAAAAAGGGTTTATTTTTCTTCCTGCTCGTTCGATATTTTTAAAAGAACGACGCAAAGCTTCTGGCTTCTTAAAGAGCATTACGCATCTCCAAAATTTGTTCGAAGGCATCGTTCTGAAGACCGTCGATACTTCAAAAACGCAGGAAACGAGAACTTCAAGATCAACCAACATTCAGCCAGAGGGCATGAGTAAAAAAAAAGGCTGCTAGCAAGAAGTGCAGTTACTGCAGCGCTTTCGTTGCTTAGGAAATACGGCGTTGTGTGAGCGGATTATTCTTAACGAACTCGCTATACAATCTCTTCGAACTTGGCAAAAATTATAATTAATTAACAAGAAACGGCTCAACTGCCCGGCGAAACACGCCTCAAGCCGTTCCGCTGGAAAAGACCAGGAAAGGAAAAGTTCAAAAATAAAAATCTACGCATTCGTAAAGCGAAAGCAGGTGCAGCAGCATCAGAGCAGACGGACAGACATTCGGCCAAATACCGAGCTAGCTACCTGTAACACGCCATCATAGCCTATATAAAAGGGGTACATTCAGAAGTTTTCAGACTCCGACATGAAATCACCCACTGTCGTCGAAAAATATTCAAAATATTTTTCTGCAGCAGTACGTCGGTACAACGACTTATTTTTTTCGGGTCCCTGTCCGATAGCCGCAATGTTATTAGAATAACTTCATAGCGAATATATAATTTCATAACGAAGCTAGATTATAGATCCCAGTGGCTCTGTTGTAAAGAGCTTTTACTGTATTCTGTCTTCGGCTCTTGAAGTTAAGTCCGATTTCCCTTTCGATTTCGAGGCTTTAAAAAAGAGACCACGGTAACAGATCTCACAATATAAAATGCTCTCTTTTATGTTCGTTAACGTCAATGGTTGAACGAATATCTCATAAAACAACCAAAAATAGCATTAAAGTGAAAAATAAAATGTTTGTTACATCACATTTAATTTCATTCGACAGTGTCACCACGATCTCATTTTTTAAAGTGGATAATGTACAGTATTCTCGTCTCCGTCCGATTTTTTGCCGCATCACGACAATGAACCTGAACACACTTGAAAAAAATTAAGATTCCACCCTGATTAGATCATCGATTTTTTAAATTCTCTTTTAATCTTCAACTTAAAAAACGCATCTTCGGCCGTTTTTTGAAACTCGAAAAGCGAGTTTTATTGAAACGTGTTAAGAGCTAATTAGCTTACGATGAGCAATTAAAAAATAAAATTTCGTCGCATTTACGGAGTTTTAATCATTTGAAGGGAGCATACAATTTTTCAAAATATATTCGTTTTGCATGAACATGTCAGCGTGTAAGATCGTGTTTGAAATACGAGAAATTTCAAAATCGTTTACATGCGCTCCACTTACAAGTCGTCCAACTTCTGAAAAAATCCCCCCCCCCC